AAAACAATTATATAACGTGTATTTTAAATTTATATTAAGGTTTTGTAAAATGAACAACAGTGCTCACAAACAAAAAAAACTAACACCGAAAGAAAATACTTTTGTTATGGATTTTCAAACATTAATGGCGATGTGTTAAGAATCAAGTTGATAGCTGGTTCTAGCCTCTACTTTCTGATATTGTTGTTAAACAAATTTTAACTTTACATGTTTTTGAGATATTTTGTCGGTGGGTGTTCTTACCCGCGGAACTTAAGGCCCCGCTCCACCCTATATAATTGAGATTTACCCTATAGATTTTGTTTTATAAAAGATGTAATAAATTAGACGCTGCTACGCTTATATTAAAATATGTCAGCAATCGTAGTGTTCATTACAATAATAAATTCAAAATAATTAAATTTTCTTTTATAAATTAATATAAAAGCATATAATATATAAAAGACATAAAGCATCTAACATTAATTTTTGTCATACATTTGTATACTTGAGAACAGAAACAGTATATATATATATTTTTACATATTTTATAAAAACTTCTAGAGATAAAATAATTAACCAAAATGTATAAATCTGCGTTTTAGAACCATTAGAACGAACTTAATTGAAACTAGTTCTGCTAATTTATATTCATCTGAAACTATATGGTTTTTGTATAGTATTCAACAACACATATAGCAGCATACTTTTATTTTATACCACATTAATAAGTATGTCCGTACAATTATTTATATTTGTATATTGAAATTTTCAATAATTTGCAGTTGAAATACCGACTTTAGTATTTCTATAATCTGCTGTATACGAGTATGTTGTGTCCTAAAGTTCGCATTTCAACTATTAATTATTAAAAATTTTAATATCCAAATATAAATAATTCTACAGACTTACTGAGTGATTTGTTATTTGTAAGATAGTTTCAAGTTTAAGTCGCTGCACCACAATGCAATCTATCCCATCGTTCCAAGGTGACAAAATAATCCGCAAATATAGGATGGCATTTTATATGGGTTTATAAGAGGATACGTTTCAAGGCGACAAAATAAGGAAAAAAAATGGTTGAGAACTATTATGATGATCTTATTCATATATATAACTTTCGCAAAAGGGGAAAAATGGCGTTCAAAATGTCGGAATAATATTACGTAGTGCATGAGAAATGAGTGCTACCATCGGCGTTGTTGAACAGTTTACAGCGATCGCTGTAAAGTCCAAAGTCCGAGCCGAGTCGCTTTCGCATATCGTATTAGGCTCTTGCATATATTTCATCCGTGGAATATACAATATACTATACAACGCGACGATAGCGCTAAAGTCACGTGGCTCCGTCCGTGTAATGTTGCCGCATGAGAAGTTTGTGCTTCAACAGAAGAAAACTGTGGAAATTTTATCAATGCTTGCTCGTTGCTATAACGCAATCACTTTTAGGATAATAAGGATAATGACTGATTTACTGAATTTTAAAACTATCTTATTGAGGCCATGATTTTAACATTGCTTAGATTGTTATGTCCATGCTGAAAGCAATATAGTGAAACCTCCTTATTTGTACATAAAAATGCCACGAATATAGAATTCGCAAATACAGGATGGCACTTTATATATAAATATAAGAGTTGCGTTCAAAGATGTCAAAAATTTTGTTAAGAACTATTATGTAATATACAATTTCTTAAGTATAACTGATTCCTATTAAAATCAGTTAGTAATAAGTTTAATACCAAACCTAAAATTAATATAAAACTTTGATAATTAATTAGATGTGGTACTAAACCTGTTATTAAGTTTTAAAATGGGATCTGTTATACTTAAGATATTGCATACTACATAATAGTTCTCAATAATATATAAGAAAAACATTTTCAATTAATTTTTTTGATTCATTATATTGAGGGTAAGGCAATGTTTTGAGGGACTTCGTAATTTTGCTCTTGGAAACAAGATTTTCTATATACGGATGATTGTTTATATAGAAATCGAACGGATCATTTTTAATTCTTCAATAAGATTTTTCAAATTAATTTTTACGTTTCTGTATTTTTGTTACGTAGTTATAGAATTTATTAAAACTCTCCTTCGATAATTCAGGTTGTTGGGTTATAATTTAACCCTTGTAGCTGTGGAGTGTATTAAACACTGATTTGTTTGTATATTATGTATTTGTTGCAGTTCTAATTACAATCACTGATTTGTTACTAAGTTATAATGAAAGAAGATATATTTATTTTTATTGGTTATTTACATGATGTTAAGCGGACAGGGGTAGGAACCATTCCGTGTAAGCTTACTGCCCTGAAGTTTTGTCATCTTCATGGCCAATATAATAAACCGAAAAGACGTCAGAACAGTTTCTATTGCTTTTCTTCAATGGACCTTGAATATGGATTTTATGTCGATTTTAGTTAAATTTTACTAGGTAAAATATATTTTATTCATTGAGTAATAAATAAGGTTGTTTTCATTCTAATGGTTTACATTCTCAAAAACAACGATAGCGGCAAAGACGGCCAAGGGAACGGAGGATGCTTTTGTCAAAATTTTCTTTATTAGTTCAAAATGACGGCATTTGGGTTCGATACGTATTAGAATCCGCGATTAACAAAATTTTAGCCGCGAATATGAATTTTTTGGCGACGAATAACGAAAACGCAAATGAAGAAATGGCGAATAAGGAATTTCTACTGTATCTAAAATTTGTGTTATTTTTTAAATAAAAATCTAATTAAAAATCTGTTGAATTATGTACAGTAGAAGTCTTTTAGTCCGGCTTGCTCGAAACTTACCCTTGTGTGATTACCGTCGATAGAAACAATTAAGTTAATAACTAAAATACAAAATCAGTAGCAAATACAAACAACAAAGCTTATTTTATAATTATTAAAATATATATATTTAAAACGATTTTAGTTTTACAAAAAAACAAAGATTAAAATAATTAAAAATTAAAATTAATGAGTAAACGAAAATTATACGTTATTATACTGGTAGGATGATTCTTATAATTATGCGGAACTTTGATATTACGTCGATTAATTCATTTCATAAAAATGTTGTTTTTTAATATTTAGTATTAGACTTTTATTATTATTTCGATTGTGATTTTATTTATTTATATTTATAGGTAATTCATCCTCTTAATCCAAAATGCTTGTTGGTACTTTACGTTCAAATCATAATGCTTTGTAAAGGATTAACGCAAATTGATTAGAAAATTATAGTTAGATCATTTTTATTTTAACGCATTCCATTTAGTACCTGCACTATTTATTTTCATAAAAAGCAAACACACCTTTTGATATTTCTAATTCGCACTAATTAATCTATGTTTGGCTATGAGATAACATGAAATAAAATCGTTAATTTAGGAATACGTCTGTTTTTTCATTTAAGCATCAATATTCTGCGCAGGTAGAACTTTACCTATAATGTATAGTTTTATTCTTAATAGATAAAATAATATTAATAGTAGTTGAGAAAAAATATTAAATCGATCGTTCTGTGGATCTACTTTCAAGATGTATTTTGAATTATTGCATTCAAAAACTTTTATAAATTAATTCTTTTTTATGTAATTTTTTTTTGCTTTCTGGTGTACAAGCAGCTTTAATAGTAATTTGCTAATTTAGAGAAATATAAATAGTGAGACAATTTTGATCAATAGTATTGAACTGTCCTTGTCCCCAGCGTGGCTGGGTATGCTAGTATATATACAACACATATGTAAATGCATTATACACATGCATATATAATATCAATAAATGTTTTATTGATCTTTTTTGCAATTAAAGATAACGCGAACTATTACAGTAACCAATATTAAACGAAGCAATTATAAATCGAGTTGAAGAAATTATCCACTTTGTTGAAATTATTTTATCGTATTGCAATAGTATTTACTAATTCGTCACGGATGTTTGTAAATCATGCAAATCATGTTCAGCAAGCTTCTAATATTATTTGACAAATGCACTACCAGCAATTTGCAGTTGCCTGCTAATGAATTTTCGCACTTTCTTGTTTTATTTAATTCCATTTGTGGCGATCTTGGATTGAATCCAAATAGGTCGCAATAAATTTTAAATAATGGTCTATATTTTATAAGATGACTTTTCTCTATGATAATATGTTGCGCTTTGTACAATACATTTTTTTGTTTTGAATTTAATAATTGAAATTATTTAGTTTAACACAATAGTTTAATTTATTATAGGTTTTTATTTACTTCATACATTTTTTATAGATTTTTCTTTGCAATTCCGCCATTAACTAATTCTCATTAATAACGTATGCCGACGGGAATAGTTTTAGGCAATAAGTGTATTTTTTCGATTGATATTCTTAACAATTTGCATAATTTGGTTTTCTCGGCGTTTTAAGACATTGTGAATCGTTTGGCACAATAATTGAAAAAATATGGGTTATAATAGTATGCTTATGTATGCACGTAATCAAAAATTTGACCGAATTTTTAATTGAAAGCGAAGCGAAAAGTTTTTTTACCTCAAATTTTATTGATTAGGACATATTTTTACTCATACCGGGAAGTACATGCAACTTGCTTTAAGGTAAACATTTATGCCATTTATACCTAGTTCTCGCTCGATTTCTATTTTCTGAACAATTAATGCAATAAAAATATTATTAAATGTAATGTACCTATATTATTTAAACATTTTTGTATGCTCATAAATATGCTATATATATATATATATATATATATATATATATATATACAAATATTCCTGAATATCCTAGACCTGTTTAATAGGCACGCTTCATCTATCGACCCTGACCGCTATTTGTCCGGAGCTTTGAAAGCTTCATGAAAGCTCCCGCTCACGGCTGAATGTAAAGTAATATAACGATGTACTACCGTGTTCATGAAAGCAATGTACGTTTATTGCATGGTGGTTGCTGGTGGTTGTTTAAATTAAATATGAGAACATTAGAATATAATATACTATTCATCTTTTTTTCAAGTTAATGATAATGAAATACACATAGTTTATAACCACATTTTACAGGTATTTATTAAAAAAATCGTAATTATAAAAATATTTGAGAAAGTTTTTATCACAATTTTGATTTTACAAAATGCCGTTTTAATGGCAATAATTTTTCACTTGCTATTTATTATATGCAAGAAAAAATCGTATAATATAAACTTGACTTCTTTTAACGGCACATAGTTTGTGACTCTCAGTGAGCTTTCAAATTTTAAAATTATTTCGAATTTGAGATAAAATTTTCAAATTTGATAATTCGAATAGTTTTGATACACAATTAATCAATATTAATTAATTGTTATTAATTAACTTCCCGTAGGGTTTAGATATTATTTAGACTGTGACTATACAGGAGCACTTTTTCAATTTTGTGTAAATTAGGCAACTATTTTTTTGAAATTGAATTCGAAATGAAATGACGATTGTTAATGTTCTGGAGATAAACTGATTTATGATTTATATTTGATTTGCTCATATATAACAAGATAGCAAAAATAATGAAAGTTACAGTATTTGTAATAATATATTTGAAAACGTTTAAAATTTCTCGAATATATTTCATTACGGTACGAGAAGTTTCAACAATTTTCCTTAAGGCACGAGGCCATACACCACTAGTTAATATTGTATTTATATTACGATTCGTACAATAAGATCAAGAAAAGCTCTTGTGATACAACATGAGTGGAGCTTTCAAGTTCGTTTAACGATTTTGCTACAGAAGCTCCCTATGAGAATATCTCATTATTGAGTGTTTTATATTTCATTATAATCACTGTTTAAATTTTTTTTTCTGTCCAATAAATAATATTTTATTGGCGTCATTGAAATTTAATGATGAAAGTATGAAAATTCACGTGTGTGGGGATGAAATATAAAGCAGTGATTATGAGTTTACAAATAGATATATATTCTTTCTAAGTTTTTGAGTTTAAATAAATTACAAAATTTTTGTTTCTGCAATCGTCAGAAGTAAGTTTTCGTAATTTTCGCTACAATATTTATTCAAGTTATCGCAAATGTCATCAATTATTTATATATTAATTCGAAACAAAGCCAATACTGTTTCTTTTACGACGGATAATAATTTTTATTCACATAATAAAATATAATATTTTTTTGCAACCACAAATAATTTTTTGATAACCGTGTTTTATATTTTCATATTTTTAATGGCCAACCAACCAAAATTTATATTTTGAAGGATTTGAACGTTTCAAATGAAAGGGTCTATTGT